AAGGTTACTGGGTTAAAAAGTCATGACTCCCATGTTCTTATGCAACAGTTACTTCCATTGGCCTTGAAAAAAACACTTCCTTCCGATGTATCAGTGGTTTTGGTGGAATTGTGTTCATTTTTCAAGAAGTTGTGTGCGAAGGTTTTGATAGCGAAAGAGCTTGATCAGCTGGAAAATAAAATTATTCTTACACTTTGTCACTTGGAGATGATATTTCCTCCATCATTCTTCACTGTTATGGTTCACTTGACTGTTCACCTTGTTCGAGAAGCAAAGGTTGCTGGCCTAGTTCACTAGCGATGGATGTACCCTATAGAGAGGTACTAGATTATCTTTTATCCCCGCCTCTTTAAATTTCACATTGTTGTCTCATTTGCTCGCAATTATTAATGCAATATTAACTTGTAGGTACTTGGAAAAATTAAAATCATATGTTAGGAATAAGGCGTGGCCTGAGGGGTCAATAGCAGAAGGTTATTTAGGAGATGAGGTCCTAACTTTCTGTTCAAGGTACTTTGACGACATGGAGACATCTTTTAACTACCCGCGTTGCATAGATGATTCTCCTCCTATCAAGAAACCAGTTGAAGGATATGAATTCTTCAGACTCGCTCCTACAGAGAAACTCTAGGCACACAGACACGTTTTGATAAATTGCAGCCAAGTTGAACCCTTCATGCAGTAAGTATATCATATAAACTCACTAGCTTTTACACTTTACACTTGTTTCTTACTGACTCTTCTATCAAATTACACTTTACTGTAGTGAGTTTAGAAGTTACCTCAGGCGTCAACTATGGGGTGTGCGCGTTCTGTTGACATTGATAAAAGAGTCCACAAAGAGTTTCTCAGTTGGTTTACACGTCGAATACGTAATGACAACAACCCATACACAGATGAATTCAAAGCTCTTTCCCTCAGTCCGTTAGACCATGCATGAAGGTTTACCGCATATAATGTCAACGGCTTCAAGTTTTGTATGGTTGGACGTGATCAGGGATTGCTCACACAAAACTCTGGAGTTTGCGGGACATTCGGGACGAGATGTTATGCTAGCAGCAGTGATGGCAATATGCATTTTGGAGGCGTCACTTACTATGGAAAGCTAATTGACATTATTGAGTTGAGTTACCAGCTTTTCACCGTAACACTGTTCAAGTGGTCCTGGGCAAATACGACAACTTCACCAGGACTCACTGTTGACCACTTGGGCATCACCTTAGTTAATTTCTCTAGACTTATTCATATGGGGGCACATGAAGATGATGAGCCATATACCCTTGCTTCCGAGGCACACCAGGTTTACTATGTCGAGGACGAGAAACATAAAGACTGGAATATGGTTGTTCACCTCAAGCCACGGGATCTTTATGATATGGGTGATGGTGACATTATTTACGACAGCAAACCCTTCCAACCCCCGAATTTTGAAGACTTCTTTCCTCAAGGAGATGATAATTTGCCAATTATCAGGCATACGTCTTTTCTTAAATTATTTAAATAATTAACTACTAATTACTAATTTCTTCTAAATACATTATAATTCTAACATAATTTTTTTAAATATGTCCTTTCAGGCCAGATGATGATGAAGAATAGCAGTATCAAAAAAATTTATTATTAAAAAAAATTTTCCTTCCATAAATACATGTATAAATTAAAATTGGTTTAATTTTTTAAAAAATAAAAAATTATAATTTGTAGCGGTTACATAACGCTACAAATTTATTATTAAAAAAATATTTCTCCCATAAATACATATGTTTAAATTAAAATTGCTTTAGATTTTTAAAAAATAAAAAATTATAATTTGTAGCGGTTAGGTAACCGCTACAAATTTCAAACTGCTACAAAGACTAGCGGTTATTTATACGCTAGAAAATGGACAAACAGCTACAAAATACACCAAAACGCTACAAAAAAACCGCTACAAATGTGTCGCTGATCTTTATAAATATCATATCACCTCTACATTCATTTACCCCATCTCTTTTCTTTCCTCTCATATTCTTCCTCATAATTCTCTCTTTTTTTCTTACTCTCTCATATGGTGGTTTCTTTCTCTTTACTATATGGTAAGTGAATTTTATTTTATAAGTCCTTATATCTTTTATTTATCTTTACTTATAATTTACTAACATATTTATTTCTCTTTTTCTTTCAAATTTTTCTTCTTCACACTTGTCATGCCCTCATCAATTAATTCAAATACTTCTCAACATAACAGTTTAGGTTTAATATTACAAACTATCTCATCTTTAATTCAACTATCTTATTAAATCTTCAATTCAATTATCTTATTAAATTAAATTCACTTCTTTTGATATACTCATAATTTAATTACATATTATTTATTACGAAATTCAAATATATAAAAAGTAATACATAACTAATTATACAAATTAACAAAAATTCTCCAATATAATCGATTTAATGGTTTTTAAATTTATAATATTATATTTTTTAATAATCAAAAACCACAAATTTTTTTTTGAGAAAATTGCAAAAAAGGACCTTGGAATTGCAAAAACGCAGATAAGGACTCTTAACAACTTCATTTTGGGTTTTGACAATAATAATATGTTATGAAGTTGTCGAAACCCAAAGTGAAGTTGTCAAGAGTTCCTATCTACATTTTTACAATTCCAAGATCTTTTTTTGCAATTTCTCTATTTTTTTGTTCCTAGAAAAACATTTCTAGCAGTTCAAAACCGCTAGAAATAAAAAAATAGAGGGACAAATTTTGTGAAATTTAAATTTTGCGCCAAATTTCTAGCGGTTCAAACCGCTAGAAATATTTTGGCGCCAATTCAAAAATTTAATTTCCCGGCAAAATTTGATTTGGTTTAGAACTTTCTAGCGATTATATAACCGTTACAAATTTTTTTGCTTTTTCCAGTGGTTTCTATCCGCTAGAAATTTCGTCTCCTACTACTAGATTTTTCTAGCGTTTAATTAACCGCTAGAAAGTTTTTGGCATTTTAACCATACTGTGTAGCGGTTGCCATAACCGCTAGAAAATTTTTATTGCACTTGATTTTCTAGCGGTTTTTGTAACTGCTACAAATGTTATTTGTTGCAGTTAAAACCACTAGAAATATCTTATTTTAACCGCTATAAAATACATTATTTTTTTTGTAGTGATTTATAGAGAACCAAACTGAATCTGGACCGTTGATCTTAAAATTGTGTAGCTTGATCTGGACCGTCCATTTTCTCTTTTGATCTTGCAGTGACAAGTGTCTTATGACATCATGCTTACCTCATCATGATGACATCATGCTTACATCATCAAGCCACATGTCCCCAATCCAACTATACACGTGTTTTGCATCTAGCCGTACACGTAATACCTTCTTTTCCCACCTAACCGTATACTTGTTTCCCCCATATTCCTTCATCATTAAGGCATTAAAATAGGGAGAAAATTAATATAAAATTCATGCAAAATACCACCCTTAAGCATTCCTCCACCTATCTTGCCATTCTATATCGTATATAGTACTTTTTCGGGTCCTGACTTTTCCGAGACCACTGGGACATGTTATGGCACTATTTTCTCACCTCAAATAAATACACATAGCATTATATAACATGCCAAAGAGAGAGTGATCCTCTTATCTTGTTCTTCTATTAAAATAATTAATCATATTTATTTCAGAGTGAACTTGACTAAATTCTTTCTACCAGTCTACGACTCCGAAAATCTGTCTTTAGGTACCAATACTATTTCTTCATCATAGGAAATTCTTCTAATTTTTCTTAAGTCAAAAGTCAACCTCTAGACATTTGACTTTGACTTTTCCCGGATAGTACATAAATAGGCTTTAAATTCTATTAAAGCCAACCTCTTCGCTTTCTGGGGATATAATCAATTATATTCTTGAAAACTTGTAATACCCGATTCATTTAAAAACGGGTCGAATATGAGATAATAGGATCCGAATATCTTTAATTAATTAAATTTAAATAACATCTTAATTGAGATTTGAATATATTGAGTTAAATAGGAAATATTATAAATAAATGCAATTTCAAATAGAGATTCAAATGAAGAAATTAATAATTAACTGTCAATTTGAATAATATCTTAATTAAAATTTGAATATATTAAATTAAATGGGGGGTATCATAATTAAATAGCATGTCAATAAGAGGCTTAAAAAGAGAAATAAATAATTAATTTCAAATTTTTATCTATTTGCCATAAATTCTGTATCTCTAATTTAAATTCCATTAAAATGAATAAAAAAATATATTCCTATTAGAAGTAAATTTTAAACTATCTTAGATAATGCAATTTATTAAACTTTTAAATATGATCAAATAGATTAATCTGTGCATCGCACAGGGAGAAATTTCTAGTTATTTTTAAAACCTGTGATAATTTCTCAAGTATCTTTTTTCATTTTATTTCAATTATCTGAGGCCTCCCTATACTTTAAGTAATTCATATTCACTAATATTCCAAATCAATCAAAACCCTAGTAATTTCACAAATTCCTTCCAGGAGCATTTTTGTCATTTTTAGCCTAATATAGGCCTCTGAACCTTATTCCTATTTTTTTAAAATTTTTCTGAAGTGTTCAAGTTTTAACCTGTCATTTCTCATTTTCGGGGATTTTCTAGGATTTTCGGGCATAATTTCCATTTTTACCCTAACCAGGCCGAAACTTTACAAAATTACAATTTGGCCCCTGGTTTGGCTTAACCTCAAAATTCACCTCGTTGAGGCCTCTAACATAACCTTTGGCCTACATTTATCTCTATTTCTCATTCCAAGACCCTGAGATTTCATCCGAGTCTCTAACTTTTTCTTTTCTCAATTCCAGAAAACTTTCCCTTTGCAATTTAGTCCCTGAGAATCTCTATGTCCCTTCAGAAAACCTCCGTGACCTCTATCAAAAGGGATCTGGTTGTCTACCTATTTTAGGCTAATTTTGGTACTTCTAGGCTCAAAAATCAGGATGTGACACACGGCCTCAAAGTAACGCAACAAACTATATAAACTTCGCTCCAAGCCACTTGTAATATACCTTCAATAACTTCACTTTGCCCTCCCTTGCAATGTTCAGTCTAAAAGATTTGCCGAGAAGACTTACTGAAACATGCATAGAAACAACCTGCAAAATATATAACCCAAGCATGTCTTCTTATCATAGTTAGTTGTGATGTAAAGATTTGTGATTAGAATGGAAGATATATATAGTTTTAGAATATTATAAGAAAAGGGAAATACATAACATTTTAAAAGACTTAGTCAAAACTTACCCGGAAATTTCTTTCGCTCTCTACAATGCCAACTAGTTCTTCAACAAAAACGGTTCACCCTGAGGACAATTATGACATAAAGTTTGTCTCTAATGTGATAGAGGAATTTGAAGTAAAACTGCCTGAAATTCCTGTTGAAAAAATGGCAACACAAGACTCCCCAAAAGGCTATTGCAAATCCAACCCCCAATCCATTAAAGAATGAATATAGAAATTCATCTTCATGACTGTCATTTCCTTCCATGGATTCCACGTCTTGTTCATATGTGCAGTTCTTTGGAAGTGAAGCTCCACATAATTTAGAATTCCCAAAAGAGCTTTGCTCACCAAACCCATGAAGTTGAGTTCTTGATGGGATCTTTCTGGTGAAACTGTTGAAGGAAAGGTTCAAGGTTCCTAAAAAAGATAATTTAGTCATGCTTTGAGGAATTTCACCCAAAAATTGATTGCTTGAGAGATCAAGAGACTCCAAGTTGTTCAGGTTTCTGATCTCATTTGGTATGTTTCCCTCAAGTTGATCATGAGATAAGTTCAAAGATTGTAATCCAGCAAGGCTAAATATTTCTGGAGGTATTGATATTATTACTTGATAGATCAATAGCATGCAAGAACTTCAGTTTTTCATCATAAATCAATCCTTGGCCTTTTATATGCACCATAACATTGTCAAGGAATCTAAAAGCTAAACCTATTGGAGTTCTATAGCAAAATCTGTAAACCCCATTATCTGAATCAGGGAAAGCCATTGCTGTCAGATTTTGTACACAAATAGGTAATGAACCTGATATTTTGTTGTCTGCAAAATCCAATATTCTAAGGGAAGCCAATTCACATATTTGGGATGGTATACTTCCACGTTGATTGGATCTTAGCCGAAGAATCTTTGCATTTTGCGACATCCATTTTGTTAAGGATCCAGATAATTTATTTTCTCCTGCATCAAGGATCTGTAATTTTCGACAATTTATCAAAGACAAAGGTATCTCTCCAAATAAATTATTTTTATTGAGATGCAAAACCGTAAGGTTAGATAACAAACCAATTGATGGAGGGATTGCGCCTGTCAGGTTATTGCCATCTAGCTTGACAAGAACAACTGATTTCCAATGCATCCAACAATTAAGCTCTCCCGACAAAAGATTACTAGACAGGTCCAAATATAGTAATTGGCTTGTCCCATTCACATTTTGATACAATAACGGAGAGATAGGTCCATGGAAATTGTTCTGTGCCGCATCAAAAATCACAACATGTGGTGATAATTGAGGGAGGTTGCCTTTGATTTTGTTTGAACTCAGATTTGTGGAGGTAGAGTTAAGTAACACATTAGACATCTCCCCATGAATTGTGTTATATTGTAAGCGTACATATGGCACTCATGCTACAAGGTCCCAAAACTTGTCTTGAGCTTCAAATGAAATTATTGAGTAGGCAATTGCTAACATGGAAAGAGATCTGTGTATATATCCATGCGGGGAGTTTAGAGCCTATCATGTGATCCAGATGAAGGATATCAAGCTGAAAAGGAGGAACCCATTGAGAGTCGAAGTCAAAGATTAAACCAGGTGATCCAATGTGAAGGTTATTCAAATTTGAGAGTTTGACAAAATTTCTCTTAGACACCCCCCGTCAAGTGATTATTACCATGTCTTGGTACCTCCAAGTTGAAGAGTTGTCCAAGATTTTCTGGCAGACTTTCATTTAAGTAATTTGAACTGACATCCAAGAAAACCAAGGACGTGATATTTTCTAAAACTGATGGAATTGGACCAGAAAAGGAATTGTTGCCAACATCAAAGACTTGTAGATGTTCAAGTTGGCCTAACCAATCTGGAATTTGTCCAGTGAATTCGTTCTTATAAAAATACAACTTTTTTATTTTTCGAAGACTTAATAATCTCTTTGGGAGTTGGCCTTGAAAGTGATTTCTTCTCAAGTCAATAGTAGTGGCATCACTAAGATTGAATAACCAATCTGGAATGAACTGAGAACTAAAAGCACTATCATCGAGGCTAAGAACTTCAAGTGAAGTAAAATTGACGTAACGGAGAGACGGACTAATGTCTGAAAGCCGACAACTATGAAAGTGCAGCTCAGTAAGGAAAGGAACAAGAGTTGCTAATTTTTGCCAGTCAACTCTCCCTCGAAGATTAATGCCACTGAATTCAACATATGTCAAGGATGGAACACGAGAAAGCCACTCAAGACTGTCAAAGTGAAGAATCCTCATTATAGGATAAATCAAGAGAACGAAGACTGGAAGAATTTTGGCTGTCAGAGTTTGACATATCCACACGATCATTTTGGATAATAGCATGGAAGTCATGATTGCTCAAATTCAAGTAATTTAGAAACTCAAGCTGAAGCAAAGATAGGTGGAGTTCACCTGTAAGGCACTTCTATTTCTTCTCTCCACAATGAACAGCCATGGGTTGTAGGGGACATGGAAGCCGGAGCCTGATGACTCCGCCGGTGGTGTTTTCACATTGAACTCCTTCCCAGTGACAGCACTCTCGTTCATCAGACCAAGTAGAGAGGAGGGCAGATGGATCAGAAACAGTGTTTGAAGTTTAGAGAAGATGGCGGTCTCTTTCATTGCATTGAATGCTCAAGCTGCTGCGCAAGCCTTGGGAGAGCATCAGTGCGAATATTATAAGTGAGCATGGCAGCAAAACATTAGGAATATTAGAGAAGAATAAGGTATCCATGATCTCTGAAGATGTGGTTTCATGTGAAGGGACTGTCACAAATGATACCTATTTATATGCCTAGATTGGGTTCGCCTTTGATATGTTCTATGACAGGTATCACTGTTTATTTTCATGACATACCTTTGCGCTGTAGACTTGAAGAATACAATGGACAAAGACAAGTCAGTGCAGGAAAAACTTAACACTAATGAAAATGACATCCACCATTTCTATGTCTAAATTTTGTCTTTGATATTCTATGACAAGCTAAGTACTGTTTGTTTATCTTCGAGGCGTAAGCAGCTTGAAGTAAATGTAAATTACAGCGTCGAGATATGGTCCTCGTGAATTATTTTTCGGACATGCACTGCATAATTTTCGATCTTTTTTTGCTAATTTTCATTTTCCCAGTGTAATAATACATTGTAAGCCGAAGAGAAACGAATAAAAAGAAATTAAGGCACAAAGACGACTAGTAGGCAATGCAGCAAAAGCTTACACGGCACCAAATTAAAAGCAGATTAATAATGTAATAAAGCAGTGCCTAGCACGTTCTCTTTTTGGAGTCAAGATTAATTAGGTCATAAGTTAATTAAAATCAAAATTATGGGTTTTGTTGGATTTTCAAATTTAAAAAACTACTTTCCAAATTGATCGAAAATTTTCTAAGTAATTCTTTTTTGAAATTTCTTTTTATATAAATATAGTGAAAAGAGAAATTGAAATTGAAAATAAAAAATACTTGATTAAAAGATATCAATCGAAATGATTTTCCCTTTCAAGCTTTAAACCATTAGGAGTTTTAATTTCTAAATTAATTAATTAGTTTGAACAACCACTTACACTTAGATTAGTTAACATGCAAAAGAGCCCTTTAACTAGAGGAGTTTAGATCAAAATTAACAACCTTTATTAACAATCTCAAACGCCAAGATACTTAATAGCAACTCAACTCAAAAGACATTGAACTAACTCAATTTGATGTCAAATAACCAAATCAAGCATTCATCAATTCAAAATCAGTATACAATCATCAATCTGAATATTCAAACATCAAAACTACACTACAAATGTATCACTTCCAGATTCACAATCCAATTATCTAACTAATTGGATCAAATTGCAAAACTGAAATTGGAGATGAGAATATAATCAAAACTCCCCAACTGATGGTCCAGTCTCCGGCACATTCTCTGCTCCAAGGGGAATGTCACGTTTAGCTGCTCATGGTCAGATTAATTGCTCCACCGAGCACCATAGATTTGGCCTTCATAGCAGCAACACCGCAGAACTGAAGAAGGAAGAAAGCTTGGACGGAGAAACTGAAACAAGTGGAACAAGGAGGTCGCGATTTTGATTGTGAAGATGGAGGTCGACGTCGGTGCTCACGATGAAGGGTGGAAGAAAAAGAAGGTCGCGTTCTTTGTCCCTGATCGTGAGAGCTTGAAAACGATGATAGAGGAAGGAGATGAAGCCGTGGTTGTTGGAGAGGAAGAATGACGTCGGCGATGGTTATGGAGGTGTGGGAAGAGATGGAAGATGGCAATTGATGAGGGTGAAAGGCGGAAGGCGGAAGGTGGAAGGTGGAAGATGGCGATGGTGATGAAGGTGAAGGGAAAGGGAGTCGCTACTCTTTGGCCCTCTCCGTGCCTCGAATGGTCAAGTTAGATGAAGATGATGAATGTGATTCTACGCTAAGCAAAACGGTGCAGCACCCTCATCCTCCTTTGCGATTTTTGAAAAGTTCTGGTCCTTGTCGCATTTCTCTAACTCTCGATTGTCCTTTTCATTTTTAGCTTTTAATTTAATTTTTCTGCCATGAAATTTGAGATAATGTAATATCATATTTTTAAAAAAATTAATCTTTAAAATATGATAATTTTTTTATTTTTAATTCTAATTTCATGCAATTATTTTTAATTCAAAATATTATAATTAATGCATTTAAGCCTAATATATATGATAAAATCTTTAAATAAGATATGAAAAATTATAATAAAATAAGATCAAAATGTGAAAGCACCAGATAAATAATAATCAATGACACTAAGAAATTATCATGAAGTAAAGACATTTATATATGCTCCTACCAACAAGAAAATTCCAGCTTCTGTGTTATGGGCCCTTGTAAAGAGTGGCTTTTAGAAGTTTTTTGTGGAAAAAAAAGGGAAATTCACAAATAAAGACTCTCGAATTATCAAAATTATACAAAGGTCATCTAAATAAGTAAAATTATCACGAGGGACCCAATCTCATATTGCAAATATGAAATCTTAGTGAAATGTCTGAAATGCCTATCAATGACAAGTTGACTATGAGAAATAACAAGTTCACTTTAACGAATGACAACTTCAGTAGATCAAATCAAAACTTGACTGAGGGGCATTTTAGACATTTCGTCAAGATTTCATATTTGCAATATGAGATTGGGTCCCTCGTGGTAATTTTGCTTATTCATGTGACCTCTGTATAATTTTGATAATTTGGAGGTCTTTATTTGTCATTTTCCCTCAAAAAATATGTGTATGGGCGAGTTAGATCTTCAAGATTCACAGGATCAAGACACGTCTAGGTTCGGAACATGTCTTTGGACTCAAACAGTGCTTAGAACTGGATTTTTAGGGTTGACCCTAATAAATATGAAAAAAAGGCTTCGGCTTGGACTAGATTTGCTGATTACCCAAAAGTCTGGAACTGAAATTTTTTTGACCTGAGTCTTGAACTGAAATTTGAAGATTATATCTAAGCTGTTCTTTGAGTTCAATCAAAACAAATGCCTGTGCTTGATCTTTGTCTGCCTTCTCTCATCTTTTTTCGATGAGAGTGTCTACCTTCCTTTGGGCGCCACGATTTGATTTCATTGATTTCGTTCCTGGATCTCTGTGTTTTTGGCAATCCTCATTCATCTTGTATTATAATTATTTATTTTTTTGTTAATTTCTTCCCTTAAAGTTTATTCAGTACAACTATAGTAATGTAGTTTATTGCCATCACCAAGTTTTCAACGCAAGATAGCCTGCTACACTAATCATTCATGTTTGATCCAAACATTGCAATTAGTCAAGTAACCGACAAATCTATTTGTCTTGCATTAGTTCAGTCTGTAAACAAAGACTTTTAACAAACGGATCATAGTTGGAGAGGTTGAACTCAAACAAGAGTCCAGTTGATCACATATGGGATAAGAAATAATTATGATTTTATTATATTTATAGAATATTTAAATTATCTAGATTTGTTATCTTTTTAGGATTTATTTAGATTTAGTGGTATTTTGGTATTTTTATTCTTAAAATTAGTTGTTGTTATTATTTTCATTTTTATTACTATTTCAGTATAAGTAGATTTAAATTTTTATTCTACGGCAGACTAGACTTAAATATTAAATCAGATTAACGGTTATCGTTTTCTGTCTGGTTTTCTCTCCTCTGCTCCAGTTTCCTCTATCTCTTCCCTTCTCCATTCTCCCTACTCTGATCTCTTCCTCCCCCCTTTCCATTTCACATCACCCGTTTAAGCCAAAACCAAGCAATTGAAAGATTTTGATTTTACTAAATATTTTTCCATTTTAAGGGTAAATTTCAATTTAAATTTACAAAATTAATGTGTTTTTTCCCTTCAAAAATCCAGCATGCTCAATGTTCTCACAAAAAATACATAGGTTTATTATTATCCACTTATCTTTTCTTCAGTCATTTTTTCTCAACATAATTTTCCTAGGAAGGGATTTTTTTCCTCTATTTTTCATAGGTAGGGATTAGCTTACATGAAATCGGGGTTATTGTTTTAATTTGGAAAAATTTTAAGCTTGAAATTACTAAATCTCAAATCAAATTTGATAACAACACTTTATTTGGTTTTAATAATACTAAATCTGTAAATAACAACAAATTTTTTATAAAATTCTTTATTTGGTATTTAGTAATTTTAAATTTCTTTTTATGGAATTCTCCCTTCTAATTTTTACTTTATTTTCAAACTTTTAGTTTACAAGTTGGTGTTAAAAATAGGTGGGAGTTTACCACATAAAATTTTTGAAATATGAAATGCAAACTTTTTTTTTATTTGAAAAGTTTTGGAAACTATTTACATGATGTGTATAAACTTAATGGTTTTTTTTGTGTTTTTGTGAACAAATTTTTTTTTGTGGTATAAATTTTCAATATATATGCTTATTGGCAGTGACATAATACAAGATTATAAGTTTTGCCAAATGTGTGAGAGAGAGAAAATCAAGACTTGGGGGTGTTTGGTTCACTAAAAAAGCACTTTTAAAAAGTGTTTTGATTTAACTTGAGATAAAACTCCTCTCATATACATACTTTGTATACCGTAATCAGTTATAAAATCATGATTTGGTTTTCACTCAAATACCCCCTTATCTATAATCTATGACACCAGAAGACAAAAGGAAATGAATACTTTAAAAGTAGGTCAGCAATTATGCTAATAAACTATTTTTATTAAATATTTTGACTTTAAATTATTTAATGATGTTAAAGTTCTTTTTAATGTTATTGTAATTTTCATTGTGACATTTAACTTGATTTTAAAGTTTGATACGAGGGTTACGGTATCCTTCCAGTTTTGTTTCTTTCAGTAAGGATCATAACCGTTTCTCTCCATCTTCCTTTCTCCTATCTTCTTTCCTTCCAACTTTTTTCCCCAACCCAAAAGTAGATCAGCAAGACTAAGGCAGAGGTTTTTGGAGAGCAAGTCAGAGGGACAAAAGTTAATATCAATCGTTTAGATTATAATTTTTCAACAAAAATTATTTATCGTAGATATTAAAAGTTTGAAAAGAATTAAACTTACTGGGTATATATAAATAAACTTAGGGCTTTTGTGTGTATAAAGAAAATTCCCCCCAATCTTCTGTATCGAACCCGGCCCTGGAAAAAGTTGCGTCAATTCTGAGACACGCAGAGAATAGCAAAGATATTCATGAAGACATCAACTGTATATAAGAGTATATTTTTTTTATTCAAATGGCATAAATGAGAAATCGA